GTTATTTGTTCTTAGGGCTTGAAATGCTTTACTCCAAGCTCTTCTTATCTTTAGGATTTGTGCTGAGAAGTCTGCAGAGATTCTAACTGGTGTACCTTTGTATGTGTTTTTTTGTTTTCCTCTGGTGGGTTTTAAATTTTTTTTGGAGGGGTTCTGCATAGCTGGTAATAAGGATATGGCTTGATGACCTTTTTTCATCATATTTGTTTAGCGTTCTACAAATATTGCTTACTTTTTTTTTTTTTTGGTACCAGGAATCAAACTCAGGACCTTGTGCTCGCCAGGCAGGGACTTGTGCTGCTGAACTATATCCTCGGCCCAATATTACTCACTTTTTAAAAAAATGTTCTCTTACATTTGCATAATTTGCTTGTATAATTTCCATAAATAGGTTAGGGAATCCATCTATGCTATCTTCTAGTTTTTCTATAACTCTGATTAACTTTAGATTGGTCCTCTTGTTGTCAACTAGTAGCTGCTGGATACTGTTCTCTTAGTTTTGGCTTCCTTGAGCTCTTTATCCTAATTCACTATTCTGTTCTCAATATCAGATACTCCATCTTCATACTGATCATTCCTGCAATGTTTGCATTCTACACAGTTTGTTATTTCAGGTAGTTCTGTCTGACATCTTTTTGAAGATTACATACCCTTGTTTAATCTGTCATTCAGATTTTGAACTATTTTGTTTAGTTTGACCAGACTTTTTCCTATTTTCTGAAATTCACCATGGGCATATTGACTGAAATTGCTGTAAATTTTGTTCATTTCCTTTTGAACTCATCTATTTTCTTCAACCTTTCTGTGAACTTTCCACAGTCTCTGCTACCTGGTATTTGTTTTTTTCTCCCTTTGCGACTCCTTGCTCTGTCTTGGGAGATTTGGGGGTGTTTGGAGATCTCCTATTTCTTTGCCTCCTCAATCTATGTATATTTGTGGTTTTTGTTGTTGTTGTACACAGTTCACAAATACTTTTGTTTGTGAACAATTTGGTTCACCAACAAATCATTTGTAAAAATTTCACTTTTGTTTGCAACCTCTTCTTGGGTGACAAACATGACAATGACCATCCTTCCCCCAGAAACACAAACGTGGCCATCTTTTCCAAAATTAAGGAACAAATTAAGATTGTGAACCAAGTGCCACCCTTTTCTCCTCCTCCATTTTTTGGAGGGGGATTAGTACAGGTTGGGAGCTAGAGTAGTGACGAGAGTTTGTGACTTACATGGATCGCTCTGTATGACCAGTGCTAGTATTTGCTCCTTCTATTATTCACTTAATGCGATTTTTGGTTCTGTTCCTACATTTTATCAAAATACTTCTGATTACAACAGCATCCACGGATTCAACCTTAAAACACTTCTATATGATAGTCCTTGCAGTTAAACTTCCCCCTTCTGTCTATTGTCTATACACCTTATGACACTGTATTACTGCGGTTGCTCTGCAGTGTGGTGGGTGTGGTGGTGCAGGGAAGAATGGGAGGTGGTTGGATGTGGAGTGTTAGTCACTAAGTGAGAGATGTGAAGGGGTAATAGTAGTAAATTAGAAGAAAAAGTTGATGTGAGTCTGATCTCATTGTAGTACTTTTAATGGAGTTTAATGGAGTTAAATCAGTATTGAGAGTTTTCAGAGGATAATTTGGGGGGTTAAGGTGTGATGTGGGAGAAAGGTGGTTTACTTTGTGTTTTAGGAAAGTGATATGGTTGTCAGACTTGGTGATAGGGAGGATAATAAAATAGGTATGATATGGAAGAGCCAAAGTTTTAAAATGAAGAGAATCAAGGATTAATACTAGAGAACATAGGAGTGATTGTGAGGGAGATAATTATGGAGAATTTAAAAACTTGGGAGGAGGAGTTTATGTGTTTGGAAAAGGAATAAAGAAAGATGTTACTAATATAGCCTCAAGGAGGCTGGTTTGGTGGCACATGCCTATAATCCCAGCACTTGGGAGGCTGAGGCAAGAGGATCGGTGTGAGCTTGTGGCCAGCCTGGGCTATAAAGTGAGTTCAAGGTCACCCTGAACTCATTAGTGAGATCCTGTCTCAAAAACACTAGACAGTCTTGGGGTTTGAGTTAAAACAAAAAGGAACTAGATGTGCAGCTGAGAAGAGGGAGAGAACCTAGACTCCTATCAAATCAGACCCAATAAATGAACAAATATACAAAAGTAAGAAGCAAATAAAGAGGGGAGACCATAAAAGAATACAACAGAACTCTACATTACTAAATAAATCAAGAAACACAGAGATAATTAAACCTATAATATGTCCCAATAACAGACAGATTAAACATTCCAATGAGACATTGCATATGTGATTCCATGTAGCTTCTTTGCCAAAGTCTGAGCACTCACACCCTAATGACTCCTCTGGTCCTGCTACTGTAATGCTGGAGCTGACTCAGAGTCGGGAATTCTTTCCACTAGGTTGCAGGCATTCTTGCAGAGTCTGATCCAGTCTGAGTTCTTGGTTTAGGAACTCCTCCTGTCCTTCTCCCTGGGTATGATGGTTGATTCAGCAGGCAGACTCAGTAGTACACTACTATCCACTGGGTCAGGATTATTTCTATGCACTTAAATCCAATAAAGTAGAAAAATGCTAAGCTATTACAGTGGTATTTACCAGGGTAGTTGAGAAATAGCATGTCATGATACCCTCTTTGGGGCCTCCCTTTAGCATAGAGAAGAAATTCACGGTTACAATGTAAGCATCATGATACCTAAATCCTAACCCACAGTTAATAAGCACTAAATGTGATAGCCATGTCTCCTCTAATGGTGAAAAACAGCACACAACAGGTATTTTATAGAATCAGCTATCTACAACCCAGAGGCCTGGGGAGCAGGTAATGCCAGAGGGAGGAAGAGAAAAGGAAACAGTTATTTTTTTCCTACGTTTTCTGGTATGTGGTTTGGGAAGGAAGAAGTAAGAGAGGGGCAAAGGACCCTAACGGTGGTAAGGGTATGTTATGTATTTAGAAGGAAACAACTGCGAAAACTGGGTACAAAACTGGTAATGAGAACTTGGGATGGGAAAGGACTCTACGACCTAAATATGAGGGAATAAATAAAGGGGAGACAAATGAAAAGAGTGAAGGAAAGAAAAGAAAAATTGAGAATGAACAGGACACAGGAGAAAGAACTCAGGTAAAGAGATAAGGATAAAAGTAGGAGGGATCTAAAGGGACAAGCAAGAATTCCTTTCTTCTCTATAAACTATACTGGGAGAAAAAAAGGCAAGAGGAGGAGAATCGCACATACACAGATATGCTCATAAATGAAGAAAAGGTAAAATAATGGAATGAAAGTGAGGGGGGAAATGCAAAGGACGAAAACAACAACGAATAAAAAATTAAAACTTAAAAAATTTAAAATAATACAGCCAAATAAAGAATAACAAAAGCAAGTTTTCTATTGTTTTGGACACATGGCTTTTTTCCTCAGCCTAGGGTTAAGGAGCAAACTTCAGGCCAGGATGCATCTGTTTATGCTGCAAGTCAAAGGTGGTGGTCTGCCCTCAGATCTGTTTACAGGGAGAATAGTGCGCCAGTGCGAGCTCCCAACTCTAACTCAGGCTGAACCTGGCCTCTGACCGCAGGAGCTGAGTCTGTGATCACCAGCCCCTGGCTCTCAGGAGGACTCCCCCCAGCCTGCTTCCCAACTGCTGGCTGTCTCCTGTGACCGTCCTTCCCTCATTGGCTCTGGGAACTTGGACGGATGCAATGCGGTTTGGAGTCAAAGGACTGCTGTGGGACCCAGGTTCAAACACTCTGCCTGCCCTTCCCTACAGTGATGTCCCCTCCAGGTCTTCCTCCGTGATTGTGGTTGCAGGCACTGTACCGAGGTCACTAAGCAACTGTTGCCTGTGGAAGGCTCTCTAGAAGCAGTACCCTGTATTTTCCTTGCTGGTTCCAACTGCCTCTGATTCTTTTGGTCCCAACGCAGTTCCCCAGTTCCCCAAGAGCGAAAGAGTTTGTTTCACTTTCCTTCCCAGCTGGCAGCTAGCCACCCACTGTCAGCAGCACTGTGCAGTGTCTCCTCTGCAGTATGTTCCATTTCTTCTGTATTGCTTAATCCTATTTTCTTTTCCTCTGTCAGTTCCCTTATGTTTCCCCAGGGGGCCTTCACTCTGATTCCTCTCCAAGCTATTGTTTTCTAGCCGCTAGCTACCTTGTCCTTGAGAACTTGAGTTGCTGGCAGTCACTGCCTCACCATTATAGGCCTCCTGCTATCTTAAATTTTTTGAGGGCAAAATCAGGCAGGTTTTTGATAGGGAAGCCAAGGTCTGACGACAGGGTGAGAGATGAGAGATACCAAAGACCTCAGCCATTAACCTCATGACCTCTCTGAGCTTCTCTCAGTGGCCTGCTCTCACTCTGCCAAGTGTACTTCTTCCTGTATGTTTAGTAAATGAAAACCCTTGTTACCTTTTTCAAGCGCCTCGTCCAATTATTTGTTCAGGAAACTGAGAATTTGGAAGCTATCTGCAGAAAGAGCCTACAGCCCCCAAGGACTGAGTAACACTTTCCATTCTATAGTTAACCCAAATCCATAGGAAGATAACAACACTACAACAAAACCAGATTTATCAAAATTATAACCTGGAATTCATAATACTAGAGTTATAATATATTCCAGGAATAGCCCTAGGGAAAAAAATGACATTCTTATACTGATACAGAAACTTGAAAGAAAGTAAAATATTTTTTAAAAGGATAATTTTAAATAGTTAAAAAATAGTCACATTTTTACATCTAACCACTTATATTTAATGTCAGTGTATCACTACTCATATTAAAATGCGGCTTATAACTTCATGATCACAGCAACAGAATAAAGAAGCACCAGAAGACCAACAGTAAATACTTAAAGATCCTGTTTCAGGTTAAAAAAAATAAATTACTCATAAATGACACATTATTCTCTTTTGGCATGCTTCTGCTACCAATCTTTCTGGAACAGTGCTAGATATTCTGCTCAACACTTTGCTGATTACCTGCTGTATGTGAAGTACTAACTCCTATAGATGTAGTCCATTTCACATGAGTTTCTGGAATCTGAGGCATGTAGATTTTGGGAGGGATAATAAAATGTTCTGGAAGGCTCAGTTCTGTTGTAAATAAAATGAACTTAGGCTTCTTCAACTTTGACATATGAAAGAGCATAAGAGCCTGAAAAGAAATGATAAGGTTGAAATGTAATTTCCATCATTTTTATTTCAAAAATATAAAAGACAGCATTATCTACTAGACACCGTACTTGGAAAAGATGTTCAAAGGATTGAATCTCTTTATTTTTTTCAGAGACATTATTACACAGTTGGAAGGCAGCACTAACACATTTCATAGAACCACTGTGGACACTCTGTTGAGAGATAAGTTAATGTTTGTTGCTCTTGTATTTTAAGAAATTGCTTGCCGGGAGAAGAAACCATTCCAGTAATGAATAACACTGGAAAGGTACTCCGTCCCCGAGTTAAAATCTGTGCTTTGTCACATTTACCCATAAAATATAGTTCTTATTAGCAGTAGAAACTGAGCTTTTCTTTCACTAACGACAATTTGGTGAACATAAAATACTTTCAAGGCTTACTATGCTGGAGATGCCAAAAACATCCTTCATAACTAGGTTTGATATTTTTAGTTCCTTCTACCATTAGTCATAGAACGTGGGTTACAAAACAACTCCCATGCATATGCTCTTTTACACACAATATTGTCCTTTTAAAAATAAGACAGTGAAGATAAACTCAGCTGTCACAGTATAAATACAGCAGGTTACAAATGACACTTTTAATTTGTGAAAAAAAGGAGACATGTCATGCAGGAGATGTCAACGTATTGGCAAAAGCACATAAGAAAAGTTCTTTGATTTTTAAGAATTCACGATCTGACAGAAGAAAGAAGTAAACAGAAAATAAATCTAATATAATGCATAATTTATTGAATGCAATAATAAATATAAAAAGTGCTCTGGGTACTAGGTAGAAAGCTATAGGAAAAAGGAGAAAGATAGAAAAGTTATACATGTAAATGTGTATAGGAAAAGGACGTCAGAGACAAAGTCCACCTCCTTTACCATTTTAAGTAATTATTTTCAGAAGAGTTAATAATTAAAATATAAATTTAAAAAGTTAAAGATAGAAAGAGAGGAAGTAATATGATAGGCTAAATGTTTGAACAAGCAACTCACTGAAAATTTTTACTGTAAAAGTATACTGCCTGCTGAAAATAAGCATTCCCAAATTCACTATTATATAGAAGTAAATATTTCAGTTAAATCTGAAGAGATTCATCAGCTTCTTTGAAACAGTCAGAAAGGTTCCAATCAAGCGGATGTCAAAGACTTAGACTTTAATACTTTTGACCAGAACTTTATAAACTCCCGATTATCTTTAAAATGCTATCATTAATTGTTAGTAATATACAATCAGGATGAATTGAGTCTAGCATTACATCAAGTCTTTCACACAATGCCAAGTATTTTTTATAATATATAAATGAAATTAAACCTTAAACAAGGATGGAAAATAGATGAAAATGTGTAACTTTCCCAGAGTATTCCAATGTGCAGCCAAAATTGACTACTGTGAATTCAGACCTACATTGTAATGCATAAAATTATATAGCAGAATACATTCTTTCAGATTTATCATTAAGTGGTGTTAAAAAAAAACATTACTCAGCTGTCTTCCTGGGGGGGAAAAATATTCATCATTTTTTGCAAAAATATTGCTATGATCAAGTGGTAACAGCTCTGTATATTTTTAAGAGTTAGTAATTGAATTCGATCATCTGTTTTCCATTCCTACCTCAATCTTGGTGAGCCCTAGGAGGGCAACGGCCACGCGGATGCTACTGCTCTCCAGAGTGCCCGAGATCATCCTTCGCTGATACTCAACAGTAGACATTTCCCGTTGTGCTGCAAAAGCCAAAGCCTTTTCCTTGGCTTCATTAGTCAGGGGCAATTTAAGGCTCACATCTAGGGTTTGACAGCGTTCGCATTTCAAATACAAAACTGGATGATCCTTATTATTTTCTAGGGAAAACAAAAGTATTTCTTAATAAACTGAACATTTATGCCCTCCATCCAGGATGAAGAGGAGGTTGTTAAATAGAAAACTATAGTTACGTTCCTTCACTTAACAGAGTGAAAGGAAAATAGCATTTCCCCTTGTGTACTGGGTTTTTTTTGTGGTGTGTGTGTGTGTGTGTGTGTGTGTGTGTGTGTGAGTGTCTGTTTGGAATTGAACATAGGGCTCTTGCATTGCTAGGCAAGCACTGTACCACTGAGCTACATCCCACACCCTCAACCTCCCCTTTTTTGACTGGGTTCCTTTTGTTGCCAAGGCTGGGCTTGAATTTGTGATCTCCCAGCCTTAGTATCCCAGTCTTATACACTGGGTCCATTCACTACACAATATTTTGTATGCCAAATTTGAGTATTTATCTGAAGACTGAAAAAGCTTTTAAAAAGAATCTTCACTGATGCTGTTAGCTGATTAAATGATGCTCTATTTCATGGATACTGACACAAAGTTAAAAAGCGGTCTTCCAAATCTAATTATATACTACAGAAAATTGCTGTGAAGATGAGACTCACTATAAAAGGAATAGGCTCATCTTTGATGGCTTTTTTTTTTTTTTTTTTTTTTTGGTACCAGGAATTGAACTCAGGGCCTAGCGCTTACCGGGCAGGCTCTGTGCTGCTGAGCTACATCCCCAGCCTCTGCCCCGTTTCTTTTGATTATTTTTTTTTTCATCTTCTAACTACTATGAAAAATGAAATGCAATAAAATCTATATGTACTATACCTTCTTCTAATGAACTGTTGAAGTCAATTGGATTTGAAGGCTCTGTTGAAACGAAACTGGAAGGCAAGGGGATCAAACCGTTTCCCTGAAGAATGTATATTAATTCCCCAATCTAAAGACAAAATTTTGAAAGCTTGTAAAAATATGACAAATCTTTATGCTACAAGGACAATCTGTACAGTAGAATTCTCATGCACTTTTTTAAGCAACATAGCTTCCTCATGGTTGGATGACAGTAAGGTTTAAATATATTCTTAACATGGTGTTGGAGAAACTGCATCAATCAGACAGGCGGATAGATTAAGAAGTTCCCAGATCATCTTTACAGTTACAACTATCCTTGGGATCACATTGTCTTTAAAACATCATACAGGCAATAATGAAGTATGTTTCCTACATTCTGCAACTTATTTTTGTAGGGAGTGATGGCATTTTTACAGGGTGTCTGAGTCCCTAAGGGTCCGTATTTTAAAGTATGGCCTTTCAAAGTGAACATGTGAGGGTCCTAAAATATTTTAAAACAAATAATTAGGCAAGTACAAAGGGCTAAATTAAAAGGTTAACAATAAAAGTGGAAAAATGTAAGGGCATCAGCAAGACAGAGTGAAAAATCAATACAAATGGGCATGCCTGAGTTCATTTGTCACTGCCATATACTAGCTATTAAAACTCAAGCAAGCCAGATGTGGTGGTGCATACCTGCAATTCCAGCACTTTGGATGCTGAGGCAGGAGGATTGCCATAAATTTTAGGCCAGCATGGGCTAAATACTGAGATTCTTTCTTAAAAAAAAAAAAAAAACTCAAAGCAAACAAAGAAACAACAACAACAAAAAAGAAAAACAAAAACCTCAGGCAAGTTTATAAAATGTCTGAAGTCCCAGTTTCTTCCTTGGTAAAATGGGATGAATAATAATTTTATTTTAGGCACTTAGAGCTTAAGAGAAGGATTTGGAAAAGGGAATTTCAAAAGACAAACAGTCTAAATGGATGAATCTTAGTTTCTGATGCAAACAAAGAAACTTGAAAGAAGAGAAGAGTAAGAAATAATCATGAGACAGTTAAGGAATTTCAGCACTAACTTGTTGCTTGATGGTAATGAGAAATATTTTACAGTACTTTAAATAATAACAGCAGTATCGAGGCCCATGTCAAAAAAGGGAACCTTTGTTTTAGAGATGTGGAATTGCTTACAAATAAAATTGTATGGTATTTGAGATTTGTTTCATAATAATCATTAAACTCGTTTGGCTACATCCTGTTAAAACTAGGTGAAGGGTTCAGGGAAGACTCACTATAGCTTTGTCTCTACAGTTGTGTGTGTAGGAGACCAGGACATACCATTCTACATTGTGATTAATTTGCATAATAATTATTTTAAACTGAAGGCAACTGAAAAGCAAATAGAAGAACTCTGTCCTCTACCACTGCTTAAAAGCACGATATAAATTTAAATTTACAAAAATATTCTCCTTTCCTCTCTTTTTTTTTTGGTTTTTTGGTTTTTCTCCAGTACTGGGAACCGAACTCACGACCTTGCGCTTGCCAGGCAGGCACTTTGCCGCTGAGCTAAATCCCAGCCCCTCTCCTTTCCTCTCTACCAGCAAGGCAAAAAGCTGATCAAGAAGACAATTTCAGGCCTTTATCTGCCTCAAAATGACATTGAATTAATCCACATAACAAATTCCAAAACATTTAATTTTACACTATTTGTCTCCTTCACAGACACAAAGTCCTTTTCCTTTGTCTCGCCACCTATTATTATTTGTTAAAAATGATATAAGAGATTTAATCATTCCCTGGTGTCTCTCATGTATTTACGAAATATACACATTAATACACTTTTGGTTTTTCCTTGTTAATCTGTCCTTTGTAAAGGGTCTGTCTGTCCTAGTTAAGAACTATAAAATTATTTTTCTTTCCCTTTTATGTATTTTACATTTTCCATAATAAAACATTTAAATAATCTTTATATCTTCAAAGTGGAAGGATTCGTGAGGACTACATGAGGAAAAACACACAGCTCTTTGGCATTTATCAGGCACTTAAGAGATCTGTTTAAACAGAGTGCATCCACGCTTGGACAGCAGGCTTTCCCCAGCCTTGACATGCATATAAATCACCTAAAGACGGGTGAAAAAGCAGATCTTACTCAAAAGATCTAGGGCAGGGCCAAGACTTGAGAGGATAAGGGAAAATGAAGGCTGGAAAATTTACATACAATGGGGAATCTTAAATCATAATAGCCTTGTGACAAGGATGTAACAACCTGAAAATTAAAATGAAGGGAACATGGTCTGAAAGTTGGCACTGTAACTATTTTGAAGTGTTCCACAATCTTAAAATAATATTATCTGCATGACTAAAAGACTATACTAAATATATCTTTAAGTAGGCAATGTCTATGCAAATGACATAAAACTTGACCAAGTGATAGAAATACACTTTGAAAATACAATTATTGAAGTGGGCATGGTGGCACACGCCTGTACTCCCAGCACTCAGCAGTCTGAGTCAGGACAGTTCGACGGCAGCCTGGACTACATATTGAGATCCTATCTAAAACAAACATGGATTATAATTATATATGTGTGGAAATACATCTATTGATTTACACATTTAATTACATTGGTAATTCCATTGAAAAGTGCAATTACACACTGAACTAGACAGTCAAACATCCAAGTCCCCCTAGTTAGCTTGGGATTTGTAAAACATCTTTGTAAATCTGTCCCCCCAGAAAACGTAAATCCATAAGAACTGAGACATGAGTCTGTTTGCAGGACCTCCAATTAATCTATCTTTTTTTTTTTTTTTTGGTTTTTCTCCGGTACCGGGAACCGAACTCACGACCTTGCGCTTGCCAGGCAGGCGCTTTGCCGCTGAGCTAAATCCCCAGCCCCCCAATTAATCTATCCTGTTCCCTATTAGAGCATTTCTTTGGATTTCTGGTATTTTGTAGCATAAATATTTTTAAAGCTTTGATAGTTTTTTGTCCAAATTAAGAATTTTTACAAACACTGACAGTTCTATAAAACTATTTCTACTTTCAAACAGCTGTTATAGAAATCATTTTACTTTTTCTTTGACAGTTCAAATGTAACAACCCAAATGACAACAAAGCCCTGGAAGGTAAGTGGCCTTTCTTTGACAGCATTGTTCGTAAAAATGTTTTTATTTTATTCATGGACAGTGAGTAAATAGTTCTAATTTATCATTTTCAACCTGTGGGTCATAATGACAAAGGACTTATCACATATTTAATAAGAACACAAGCTAACTAGGGGGACTTGGATGTTTGATTATCTACTTAAACGTGTAGTTGCATATATATGAGATAAAAAGTTGGTAACAAGTATTAATGCTGTAATAATGTCAAGAATAAAATTAATCTTGTTGCTGTATTACCAATGGTTAATTCTAATCTTTTCTAAGGTTACATTATAATTTAATAAAATGAGATTCTGAGGAATTTGATCAAACTACTGGTCACACTATACTTAATATTTCTTCACAAATTTTATATAGAGAAGAATAGAGTTAAATCCTGAACTTTTTTTGTGTGTGCAGTGCTGGAAATGGAACTCAGGGCCTAGTCCATGCTAGGCAAGCCCTCTACCATTGACCTACACCCTCAGCACTTGAACTTCTTTAAGAGACATAGCGAGATTGTGCATTGTTATAAAAAGGCTTTTTCCTTTTATGTGTAAAATTAAATTACATTTTACATATTTAGCATATTAAATACTATATTATTTTAAATGTGTAAAAGATTCAATAGAAATTGGGTAAGTACAACATCTCTTCGTAATTACCATTATTGCACTGCATATGTACTAACTATAGTGCACATACAATTGATACATGCAGACATACATATAGACATACATTTAATCCTAGCAATTACAAATTCCCTCCTCAGCTCAGCATGGGGCAGGGTCTTTCTGGAAGATGGCAATGGTATAAAATTTGTTCTCATCTGTCCTTATCTCTTTCTCCTTCTACCTCCTGTTGTCTCTTTTCTTTGTTAATTTTGAAGAAGTCAGCTGTATGAATTCCAGAACCACAAATAAATGATTTGTGCCAACAACTTTGAGGGAGTTTGTAAGGAGATACTTCCTCAGTTGAACCTCTGAGAAGAAACCCCTCTTGGTTAATTCTATGATCCAATACTTGATAGACCCTAAGCAACTGAACTGTGTAAGTGGTATCAGACCTCTCAGCCATAGAAACTGTGAGATAATAAATGTGTGTTGTTTTAGGCCATTACAGTGTGTGATGTTTTATTGTATAGCTCTAGATAACCAACATAGTTAGAGCCACAGCAAGGTCAGGCAAGCCTCTACTTTGTTCCCAGGGGACTTCCCCATGCAGCCATCATAATATCTACCTTCAAATAACAGAAGTATTTAGATATTCTTGAGGTTAAGATCTTTGCCTACCAATTTAAGTACCACAATTATCTGCATTTCTAGAGTCTCCAGTAGGCCTCCAAACTGCCTGTACTCATGACTTCATTAAGGTGAAAGCCCATGACAGAAATACTGATTATGATTCTGTTCTCACCTCTTGGTTGCTCAAGATGATGGCACAGTAGCGTGTGTGGACACCAAAGGGAAGAAAATAGATCTCCAGACTTGAAATTCCATTCCCTTTCAGGGAAAGCGCATGCACGGAGCAGAAGAACTCTCTAATGAAACTGGCTTTAATTGCTAACAAAATAAAACACAAATCTAGCTGGTATGTAATAATATTAATGCTGTTCAAATAAAAGAGCTGTTTCAATTAATAACTGACATTTTAGAATCTATAAAAATGTTCAAAGCATTAGAACACAAGATTAGAATTTGATATGTTTATATAAATTAGAACAGTGAGTGACACCAGCTCGAGCTTAATATAACAAAATCCATAGTTACGACCCTCTACTGAAGATTCCTTAATGACATCTGGATATGATAGCACAGAAATGCAGTCTCACCAATTTGTGAGGCTGAGGCATGATTGCAAGATCAAGCTCAGCCTGGGAAACTTAGCAACTTAGAGACTTTTGCAACCCCGTCTCAAAAAAAAAAAAAAAAAAAAAAACGGGTTGAGGATATAGCTCAATGTGAGGGATGTGGCTCAATGCAAAAGCTCTGGGTTTAATACGCAGTGATATGATAACAAGAAAGTTTCCTTAATAAGGAATTTCACTGTAATAAGAATTTCACCACCATTTAAAATTAACTTTATATATTGCACACAGTGAAAGAGTCATTCAATACTGTCAAATTTTGTGGGCTTTTTAATACTTCACATTAAAAGTAATGGAAGATTTGAACTGGAAATGAAGTATTGCTTGATATATTCAAATACACACATTTCTTTTTAGTAGTTTTAGTATGTGTCCACAAATTCTTTGATACTGCCTTGAATGTAGTGATATTGTAGATCAGCCTAAATGACCTCACCCTAACAAACAGTATGCTAGAATGGCTCAGAAGAGAAGCAAAATCACTTCCAACACAAGATCAGAAAATATAGCATACTTTCTGCCTAATTCTCTCTTCCAGAGATCCCTGTGTTGAAATCCTACTTTTACCGGTGAAGAAGCCTGGGCAATATGGAGTAACCACCAATATGTGCCCAGGTCAGCAGCCCCAGTTGAGGTCCCAGACAAAAGAGAGCAGGAGCCATCAGATATGTGAGGGAGGAATCCTTTCGATGGCTCAGGTCCTACACTCAATCTGAGAAGAATGGCATGAGACATGTTGAGATGAGAGTCACCTAACTAAGAATTTACCTGGATAAGCCAGTCTCCTCATACCTAAAATATGAGATAAGAATTGTAACTGATTTTTGTGGTTTTATGTCACTACGCTCAAGGTTGTTTTTTGTGCATTTATGGATAACCAAAAAATTCCTGTATTCATTTTCCCATCCATCATTTAATCCAGCCATCTTTTCTAGGCCTGCAGTTATTTCCTAAAACAAATCAAAGCTGTGATCTTACTACACTTCTAACCTTGGTGATAATATTACTGAAATAGCTTTAAATAGTTTAGCATAAGCCAAAAAGGACACAATGCATATATATTAAAACACCTCCCTCATATGCTAGAGGAAACTGAGACTAAGCAGTGGAAGGAGAGATGTGGACTGAGTCTTCCAAAGGGCCACACCATAAAAGGCGACGGAACAACACTTTAGCCACCCAACTGACCGGCAGTCCCCAGGGCTTGCTATTCCAGCTAACGTCATAACCACCCTTGCTGAACATTACCTTCTTATTATGGCTTGCAAATAAAAATTAGACATGAAACAAAAAGCTTTTATATGAGGTACTCACAGGTTGTTATGCTATCTCGAATATGGCAGCAGCCTTGGGAAGCATCACATACAGTGCTACTTCTGTCACTACTGTCACAAGAAGACAAAACAAAAATAACAACACCAGACACAGAACACTCAAAAACAAATATTTAAATTAAACCTTATAGATCTTAAAAATGACCTCCTACAGTATGACGTGCAAATAGCATTTGATGTTGATATCACTTGGCTCACTAAAAAATACAGAAACAAAAATATCAGTTATCCATAGTTCCACCACTCTTTAAAAGCTGGGTTAAAGTAAATGCTTTTACTTTAAAATATTGTAGAAGAGTATATTTAATAAAAAATAATCCTAATCCAGAGACCTAAAATGTAAATGGTCTCAGTTTAGTAAAAAATAAAAGCTGTCTCCAAATGTGGCTCTAGAATTTGGTTTCTTAAAAAAGTTGTTTTCTCTAAATTTGTTTCCAAATTTGCTTTTCTCTTATAAAGGGAGAAGGAGCCTTAGGTAGTGGTTTAATCTCCGGTTTCCAGGTCTTCCACTACACACTGACTATGTCCACTTAATGATCTTCTTTCAATATTTATCAGTATGTTTCTCAACAAGCAATCAATTAATATTTGAATTCATAATTATTGCATAAATTTTTCTGAGAGTATTAAAGTTTTATATTACTCCCTTGTCCATTTATTTATACCTGAAATCGATGCAGTAGTACATTAACTTTCCAAGTAAAGCTAGCCTACATATCTATAGTCTCTGGTATTTTTTATGAATTAGACTGTTTTTCTTTTTACACAACATTCTTAATGATGATATTTGGCACTTGCAGTTCTCTGCTTTATTCTTCACATCATTCTGGTTAGCAGTTCAAGTGCTATACTACCTTTCAATAGTAAACAATGTTTAATATTTTGTGTAATTTTGAGCATTTGACAGAGACTTTAAGACTGCCATAGACGCAACAGGTGGATGTTTTTACATTTATAATGGAGATCCTACACAGAGTGGACCGAATAACAAAGCATGTTTATTATTTTTCGATTTGTATCATCATTGCCATCTCTTTGACAATGGAGTTTTGGGAAAAAAGTCTGATTAAAATCCACAGGTAATCTACAAACTTCATTTTGAACAGCACTTGGCAATCTGTAGTCCTGCCATTTCTTCTATTATTGTGTATAGAGAAGCACACAAATCTAGGTTTCATATCCTTTTTATTTTATTTGCCTATTTTGTTGGAAGCAAGTAATAAAGGATCTTTTAAAGAAATCAGAGTTATCTCATTCCCATACTCTTTATTAGAATCAGAACTTCTTAACTGCTATTTTTTCTTTCTGTATCATGTTCTCATACTGAAATGTGTGATACATACAGCATTTTATAATACATGTGATTTCAAAAGAGGTGTGTCTGTGTGTGTGTGTATATATATACACATTATATATATACACACACATTATATATATATATACACACATATATAAACACAAGGCAGCTAACATAATTTTACTACTATTTTCTATTGATTTATTCAAAGGTACAGTTAATACTTAATTGCTTGATCAATTTTGCATAGTTATATCTGGTAATCTGAACAACTACATTGAAAATAACTATGGGCAATATAACAACCATTTTTAATTTCCTATCACTTTGTTTTGAAATTGTGTATCATTTTGTTGGTTTTTTTTATTTTTTATTCTCTTTAAAGTAAAACAAAAAAAGAAAGTTAAAGAATGAATAATAATACTGCATGCAACAAGAACCCAGAAAAAAAATCAGGAGTAGTTATTCTTTTTGCAGACAAAGTGGATTTCAAGCCAAGACTAATCAGAAGAGACACTACATCCTTGTAAATGGAGCAATCCCAGAGGAAAAGCTAACAATCAAATATAAATATATACATCAAATACCACCA